ATGGTTTATTATCTGTTTTTCCTAAATACATAAAAAAACATTATAAAATAAAAGGTTCATTTTTCAAAAATGTTGGTGTCTAAATTGTCCTCCAATTCTGGAATGACTGGGTTCTGCTGGAACAGTACACATAACATTTTCTATACAAAATATGTTTTGTCAGTTTAAATAACACAATATTCTCTACATGGCTATATATATTTCTTTCTTTTTTAAATATGGTTTACCTGTCTAACTTGCTTTATTAAAAGTTAAACTATTAAACATTTAAATATTAGTTTGATATTCAAACCAAATTCTACTCAGCTATCAACAGTGAATGTGCATCTTCTATTTACAGGAACTAATAGTCATTGAGAGGACAAAACACATGCTAATGTTGATGTTAAGATGTCAGTATTTAAACTTGAATTAGTCTCTTTATTCGTTAGGAATTGGACCAGATACATTCCTGTGTTCTGACTCTGTTTCCTCTCCAGGCTCTGATGTCTTTGTTCGTGCTGTCCTGTAAGGACGGTTGGGTCAACATCATGTATGACGGGCTGGACGCAGTGGGAGTGGACCAACAGGTAATGACGGTTTGAGATACATGAAGCCTGACCCATTTCAAATCCTGTGTGTATCAAAAATGAGTTTCCTTCGACAGATTATGTCTCACAAAAGGTATATAAATATCGGATTTCTAATTTGTTTGATTTTATCTTTTATTGCACATTTTACTTAACTTCTTTTGATTATATAAATATGTATATTGCATTTGATTTGATCTTTTATTGCACATTTTACTTAACTTCTTTTGATTGTATAAATACGTATATTGCATTTGATTTGATCTTTTATTGGACATTTTTTTACTTTAACTTCTCATGTTTGTATGACACTTGTTTTCTTTATATTCTTAACTGGAGCAACTGTGACAAAATCCAATTCCCCCTCGGGATAAAAAAAACGGAAACTGTGATTTGTGCCACTTATTTTATTGTACACCTACTCTAGGCGAAGTGCAGTTGCATATCAGATATAATAACATTACATATCAGATCTAGTTAGATAGTGTTGGTATTAACCTGGACTGTAAAGCAGCTCAAGACATTTGAACCTTAAGGCATGTTGGGGAATAGTGGCACTATAATCTTGTATTGAAAGCTTTAACAGCCCTGAAAACATCTTAAATACACTTTGGAGTATAATAGAAGGACAGAGTGGCAGGGGTGCTGTAATGATCCAAAGCAAAAGCACGGCTCTAAATGTGATTTTATAGCAGGCACTTTAACTCTTCAACATTTCAGGACTGCCTGTGGTGTAATGTGCTGAAATAGTGAAGACTTATTGGCAAAAACGAGAGTGTTCAAACCAAAGGAGCACAGGCTTTATTCGTTATAGCATCAGGAGAGATCTTGCTGCATTGACCGTGAAATTATCCTTTTGAATTCTGGAAAGATTACTCAAGGCTACCAAAGGATTTTCTGTATGTAATAATAATGTGAGGCGTTACAAGGGCAATGTGTCTTTTGTCAAAAACAAAAGACCTCTGCACAAATAGAGACATGTGAAAACGTGCTCTGCTCTCCCATTGTCTTTTCAGCCTGTTAGGAACCACAACCCCTGGATGCTGCTCTATTTCATATCCTTCCTGCTCATCGTCAGCTTCTTCGTGCTCAACATGTTTGTCGGCGTGGTGGTGGAGAACTTCCACAAGTGCCGTCAGGACCAGGAGGAGGAGGAGACTCGCTTACGGGAGGAGAAGAGGCTGAAAATGATAGAGAAAAAGCGCAGGAGTAAGGAGAATGGAGGGGCTGGTCGGTAGTCTATTTTTCTGAGCACTGCCTGCTTTCAGAGCCTGAAAAAAGAGAAAGAGAATGACAGAGAAATAAAAACAGGGACATTTATAGAGATTTAAAAATAAAGAGGGAGAGTTTAAAAGACTGGGTAGCTCACGCAAACAGTGACTAATCACTGGCAGAAGGCGTAGGCTACGTCAGTCTGATGCATGTGACTGCATGACTGCAGCCTCCCTCCAACCCTCCCCAAACATTGCATGCAAAAAGAAAAAACAGTATTCACTAGTCTCTATTTAATTTCTTAAATGACCAAACATTGCTAATTAACAATGAGAACCAATGAATGCATGTGATGCCGATCGAGGTTGTTGTTTGCCTCCATTTGTCTCCTAAAATTTTGCCTATCAAAATTTTGATCAGTGAAACGCCAACTCCCCCCCCTCCCTCTCCGGGTGCATGAACCAACCCGAGCCTGCGGCGTCTCTCGACACAGGCCAGAAGGACATTTCCTGTGAACATGCTTTGACTGGCAGACTCAGAAACATAGCAGGCTGCTAAACCTGCAAATACATTGGGACATAAAGATGATTTGTTTGTTAGATAAGAAGGATTTGTGGTTAGTTTGTGGGAAATACGAGACTGAACCCCCAGGTAGACACATCACAAACTCAACACTTATTGCAAAAAAAGTCTCATGCTAAAAAAGAGTGAAGCCTTTTTATTGTGTTAATATGTTGAGCTGAAGAAAGGAGAAAAAGGGAATTAGAAGAAGCACATGGCTTCATCAAAGAGATCAACCATTTGGCTTAAATATTAAATTACAGAATTACACTAGAAGGCAGTACAAGGTGTGAGCAGAGCGCCACTCTTTCCATTGTTAAAACATGTCTCTCTGGTCTAAAACTGCTAATGGTGATGAACATCATTTAATTAACTGTCTCCAGAGTTTGGCCATGCAATAAGTCTAGTCTTGAAAAAAAAACGTTTTGGACTATTGAGATTTTTCCGAGGGGTTTGAAATGACTGTAGTGATGTCATCAAAGAGAATAGTGGCTCGAGCGTATGTTCAACATTACAGTCTTTTTTCGAAAACCTTCAAATTGGGTGAGTTGAAAAGTGAAACGTTGTGAATATTAAGATTATAGATACTTCACATACTAATTGTGTTGTTGAACGTGCCCTGCGCAGCCCCTCTCACCCATAGACCCTGTACATCAAAGGCATGTAAGCATTCAGCAGACATGGTGTAAACTTGGGACTGTGACATAAACATGCACGTACCATAAAAGCCATCATCAATCGTCATGTATGGACATGTGAGTACACAGTCTATCAGAACCTAGGCTTTAAGCTTAATGGATGCGAGGTTTTTCCACCTCTGAGCTTCATTCATTACTTCAGCTTCACTTAAAGTCTATTTAATTATTCAGAGGCTGTAATGCACCTATCACAAATTATACTCTTTAGTCTGGGCTTTAATGTAGACTTCTTTTTAGGTCAGGATGCAGGGCGAGACCTCTAAGTCTTGACAAGAATATCATTATTAGAGAGCCAATGACTCTTCCAATAATGCTCCCATTAAAGGAGCCCTCTGAAAGAATTAGGACTGCCACTCCCTTTAGTTCGGGAATATGTTTACCATAGACTGTTTGAAGGAAGAATTAAAGGGTACAAAAAAGTGATATTGAGTTATTTGAACTCGAGTGAGGGAATACTTATACAAATTGCCCATTTGTATGTCAATTACTCACCTGGTGTTAAATTGAAATATTGAAGAAAACATTGTTTTCCTTGCATGCCTTCTTGGAAAACACAGAAGTCTTACTTTCAAATTTCAAACGTTCAAATACCCAGACTACCATACTATTTATTATGCCAGTAAGATATTTAGTATGTCCAAATACACGATATATGAAATGCAGTATACCCAAAATACGAGGATGTTGTACTGCATCCGATCACATTTTCCAGTATGCTTTTCTAGTTGTTCTCACCCACAATCCTTTAAGAACAAGAGGGTCACATATCACGATACAATTCTAGGACAAAGTAGTACGTCCAAAGTATAATGACTGAATGTAATAGTACATACTTAGTAAGGGCAGCTAGTACATAATACCATTTTTTAACAACTACAAAATGATATCAAAAGTCTATTTAATCTTACACAGCGCTTGCATTACAATCAAACTTGAATACATTCAGACCAATGCATTTCTACGTAAACCTTAACATTTGCAACACACCGGTAAACCCTCTCAGTCTCTGCTCAGGTCATTTTCTTTGTGAGTATCGCTTGAGTGACGTTTTCTTTAAGAATTCAAGTGAGTAATTGATATCGCTTTGTAGGGAAGTATTCCTTGAACATAAAATTGATCAATTAGGCTAGCTGTGACTCTCATGTCCTCTCTTATTTGAACATACCATACAGGCAGTGGTGTGCACAGACTTAGTGAGGCGCAGGGGCCGTGATCAAATAAAAGGGGCACCACCCGATATGAGAATTGAACATTAGGCGCGTTCACACCAAGTACTTTTCCCACAAAGGTTCCTGAGAACTCTTTAGTTCTCATGAACTAAGTACAGATCGCGTTCACACCGGAAATGAGTTCCTACCTGGGGGTGGATTAGGCAAATAAAGCCGCTGACGTCACTTCTTCTTCTTCTGCTTTGGGTTTACTGGCAGGCCGCAAACAACTTCACGGCGTATACTGCCGCCCAAAATCCCCGGCCGGAAGTCCCCGGAGTTAGGGACTGGCTTTAGTAGAAGCTGCTGGGACTCCCAGCAGCTTCTACTGAAGCCTTCAGAGTAAACGGCCAGAACGCCGACACCTCCTCATCTCCACCGCTCCCATGTTTTATTTTGTGTTGTCATAAGTTAGTCTCTGCGTTTCTGCGCTGTGCTAATGCTAATGCTAATAATGCAATGCGGAAGATAATAAAATGGCGGCTTCACAAAAGTTTTTGGGAGTTTGACGGGGCGCGGTTTGCATTCCGCTCAGCCAATCAGACACAGGAACCTTTTTCTCCCACGAAAGTCCCTCTCTAGCAGGGACTTTCGTGGGAGAAAAAGGTTCTCTAGAACTAATTTAGTTCCTCTGACTTTTTGGTGTGAACGCAACTAAATCGTAGTTCTCAGGAACCTTAGTGGGAAAAGTACTTGGTGTGAACGTGCCTATTTATGACGCAGTAGAGAAGCCAGCGGTGCACCCAGGCTGCCGCTTTGAGGTGATGTGAGGGCAAAAAGAAATCAATAATAAGCCAATAAAGGTATAAGAAGTGATTTTCTGCTGTCTAAAAGAAAACAGTGGTGGTTCCCCTTCCTTAGCCCCTACACCTCCCCGTGCACACCACTGGACAGATGTTATATCTCCATGTCAGATCACTCTAACTCACAGCTCCACTCTTCCTGTCTGTCTGCGTTCTGATATGTGTCTCTCTCCGTGTCCTCCTTCCCTATATTTGTTTGTACGTGTGTGTCTGTGACCTCCAGAAGCCAAGCAGAGGCCGTACTATGCGGACTACTCCCCCGTGCGTCTGTACATCCACACGCTGTGCACCAGCCACTACCTGGACCTCTTCATCACCTTCATCATCTGCATCAACGTCTTCACCATGAGCATCGAGCACTACAATCAGCCAAAGGTAAGGTTACTGCACATAGACATGAGATTTGAAGGTTTTGGATGTTAAAATGTATTTGAACTTTGCTCACTGTAAAATCCTATTTCCATACATGTTTAGTTGTCCTCTCAATGATGGCTAACGTTTTGGTTATCTTTAGCTAGTAGCACTATACATCTGCAGTGTTTAGTTTGTATTGTGCTCAACAGTCAGTGCAAGTATGTTGGGAAGTGAGTGTGCTTCCAAAAATAACCGTACCGCATTGATTTAACATTTGCTGTCAGATAAAACTCCTTAGTTATACACTGAAGTCGGCATCACCGCTGGCACTATGCTAAACACTATTTATTTGTAATTCCCGTGAAGCATTTGGATTTTAATAAGCAGAAGTTTCTGATGTATTTTTTGGAGGGATGCCATAATCTCCTTTGAGAGCAATGATCAACTTGTTTAGCTTCTTAGGAGCTCTATCTCCACTATTAATACCATTAACGGCTCTCACAACATTTGAATACAAAATAAGTATTGACTATTGCCACATAAAACCATTAACTAAAGCTTTGAAATAATTCTCCGCCTGTGTGTGTTCAGTATTTAGAGGAGGTTCTGAAGTACTGTAACTACGTGTTCACCTGCATCTTCGTCGTCGAGGCCCTGCTCAAACTTTCGGCATTCGGCATACAACGGTTCTTCAAAGACAGGTAACCCCCTGCTGTAATATCGAATACATATTATTCAATATTTCCTCGTTTGAATCTATTTTGTTTTATTAATACCTTGAGTACATGCATGTCTCCCTATTGTCAGTACGCTCAGTTCAAGTGATTGAGTGTTATTGTCAAACTAACATAGCTACAGATTATGTCGTTGAAAATCTTAGGTCACAGGCTTCTCCAACAATGCAACACAATAATACAGATAAGCAGACAATATTAAAACAATATTAAAATATACTATATTAAAAGTAATACAAAAAGAAAAATAGTTTTTTTTAAAAGTGAGAAAAAAAAGTGGAATAGTGAAATACGAGTCTTTATAAAACGGACAAGTCAAGTCAAGCAATCTGATTGGTTCTTAGCCGTGATATACTGAGCGTATACCACGGGTAGAATTGTAAGTTACTTTTCACAACAAGTCAGTATCCCTCCGCGCCTGAGAAAAACAGTATACAGTTCGGGCTGAAAAGCAAACTGGGCGTCGGGCCGAACCACGCCCCATAGCTGTGATATAATGAGCATATACCACGGCCTGTCGTGAGCTATTGCTTAAATATACAAGTTATTGGAATGATAGATAATAGATACATAATTACTAAGTAGCAGATGAATGTTATGAAATTGTTTCAGCAGTTCAGTTGTTTAACAGTCTTATTGCCTGCGGGATGAAGCTGTCTCTGAACCTGGTACACACAGAGTAAACTCAATGTGTTACCTACTGCAGAGAGTAGTGGGTAGGCTCACGTATCAGCACCAACAGACAGGCAGCCACGTTCCTTGATAGGGACACTCTGACTTTGCCATCAGGGAAGTCTGTAAGAGGCTGCACATGTAGTTTGTTATACTGAATGTTAGTATAAGCAGGGAATTCATGTTTGTACTTCTATGTGCTGTTCCTATTGAAAGATGTTTCTCCGTGTGTGTTTAGGTGGAATCAGCTGGATATAGGTATAGTGGCTCTGTCCATCGTGGGCATCGCGCTGGAGGAGCTGAAGATGAGCTCAGCGCTGCCCATAAATCCTACCATCATCAGAATCATGAGAGTACTCAGGATAGCAAGAGGTAGATACACACACACGCACGCACGCACGCACGCACGCACGCACGCACACACACACACACACACACACACACACCCTGTAAATAAGTCATTGTCTCTGTGAGTCCTCACTACAGACACTGATTGATGTTGTGAAGCACTTTCTAACCAAATGTGTTATTGTTTATTATTGTCATTTCTTAAAGTAATGGGTTACAGATGCCTCCTGGCTTTTACACATAGATACAGTACATTACATACCTGTGTGTACTTCACATGTGGAGTCCACTGCCAAGTACGCGGAAAATGTCAGGCAATGTCATCGCCTCGATCTCCCCCCCTTTACCACTGTATCTCTGATTAAGGCACTCTCTGGCCAAATATAGAAAGTACTTTCTTTCTTAAAGGTGACCTACCTTTTATACATGAATATGTGTCCCCGGTGTGTCAGGGAACTCCCCAAGTGTCAGAAAACACAACCCTCTCTATTTTCCTCCATACCCAAATCTCTAAAAACGGAGCTGCAAC